GCCGCATGCCGCAAGGGAGAATGACGCGATAGGGGAGAAGTTCCGTTACCCTTCCAATTCGACTGCGTAATTTTACTCAGATTACGTTCATTCCATCCTTTACTCCAACTTCCCTGGGCGCGTTCAGTCTTGTCATGTACATTAGTTTCCCTATTCCACACTCTGCATTCCCTCCGCATTTGAGCACCTTGGCTCAACAAAAGAGTAACTCCAGAATTTCCAGTCCGGCACATTTTCGCGCACGCCCCACCCCTTGTAGGAGGACTCCAGTCGTGCCTCGGTCATCAGTGTTCCCATCCTGCCGCCATTATTCCTACCCAATTTGCACGTTTTAAGTCTAAGGAATTTGAACCCACACCCCACACACACCACACATATACACTCACACACACACAGGTGCACACACATAAATACACATACACACGCCGGCAAACTATCATATATAAACCGATGAACAATGATTGAAAGACTTGTGAGTTCGTCACGCACAAGATTTCCAACCGCAATCGTGGAGCACTTCACCGAATGCATTTCTGTACCCTACGAGTAAAGGATGGGGTCAGCTTGGAAAGGTTCCGTCCGCCATTTCATTGTGTTTCATTGTAAATATCTCTGTCTCTTAGAGCGCCACTGTCACTAACCAGACAATCATGGCGGTTTACATACTTCGATCCCTACTCAGTTCCAATGGGTCCGACCTAGTTGTTCCTAATGAGTGGAAACTTTTCGGTGAACATTGGTCGTTATCGTGATTTCAGCTAATACTCCCTTTCCTGTTTCTGCTTCTTGAGCGGCTATATGAAACTCTGGCAACTACGATCCGAGCTTTGGCAAGAGTGGTAAGAACCCGTGTATTTTATTTGTTGAACGCGATAGCTACCGTCTCCTTAAAGTGTCTGTGCACGCGATAGCTACCGTTTCCTTAAAGTGTCTGTGCAGTGTGTGTGTCTGTTGAACGCGATAGCTACCGTTTCCTTAAAGTGTCTGTGCAGCAGTACAGTTTCGCTGTACTGCTGCACAGACACTTTAAGGAAGAATGACTCAAGAAGGGCTTCGGAGAGTATTTTCACTTCCCCAGATGCAAACTAATGTTCTGAACTTAGGACCTTTACTTGCCCATCCTACCACCTAACTACCTCATTCGGGACCTTTACTTTAGGTATCCCGAAGTTGTGCAACGGATTTATCTTCTTAATCCTCCACGACTTGTCAGTCTTTTGTGGAAAATCGCTCGACTATTCCTCAACGAGAACAATCTACGAAGGATGGAAATCGTTGGCGATAACGATATGACCAAATATATGAATAGTAAATTCGTTCCCAAAGAGTATGGAGGTAGGCCTTCGACATTTTTGTCATTTACTGTTCAGTTTTTTTGCTCAGTTTTTTTGCCTTTCTTGAAGTTTTTGTGGTATTCGCTCCTTCTGTCCTCCGTATCAACAATTCTGTTTACTTAATTTTCCCGTTTCCCTTTGATTTTTGTAGTACTCACGTTGGAATAGTATTTAGTATTTTCGGAATTGTACCTAAGCTAATTGGCAACATTCCGGCTGTGATTGTAGGATAAGGAGTCTAGAGAAGGGAAAAGAGGGGGAGGTGAAGGGTAGGTCAATATGAGCCACAAACTCTCTCTTAAAATCCATACAGTTACAAGTTGCTCGAGAGTAATCGACTCGATATTTCCACCAGATGGGAGGAAATCAGCAGTGGGCGAGACTTGACGTCAATAAAATTCTACTGCAGTGCTTCATTGGCCAAATCAATCTAGATTCCCTTGGATCGAAGGAGTACCGGACTTCCGATACCCAAAAATTTTCCTAGCGGGTGACGGTATCGCTAAGCAGGCTGTGGGCTAAGAAGGCTCGATTAAATGAGGTATGGATGAAATGGGAGGGCGTCTGGTTGTATCGTCTGCGATTGACGATGCCCTAAGACCTCAAAGAAGAGGCATACAGTAGCGAGGCCCTTCACATCGACGAGTGCTGTCTCGTAAACAGGAAGCATGAAAAGCAATTTCGCTTGAACGAGCACGTTCAGATGAACTTGCGGTTGGACCCGACTGAACTTGGAAAAAGAATGAGGCGTGAGACGGTTTTGCGAACATATCCTGTTCAGCCGAAGATGGGAGAGCAGGGCTTGTCAAAATAAGCCTAAGAAAGCCATAAGAAAAGCACTGAAGGTAAAAGCTCAGGGAAACTCACTACGTCTAGATGAAAAGAAGTGATCAAGAAGAACCTCTCCGAAATCAACGTGATGGCAGAAGATGCCTAAAATGGAAGGAAGGAGCCACAATCCATAGGACATTGAGTCCTATCGTCCCACGGGATTGGGACATGGATAAAAAAGGAAGAAACCCTTGGAGTTAGAACCATACTGCAAAAATTGCAATACATCGGGGAAGCAGTCAGTGTAGAAAGCTATCTGTCTTTTTTTTACTATCCGTCCATGTCCAGTCAATAGGGTCTAAGCGGTACCTGAATTTTCCTTCCCTGTTGCCATAAAACAAGTGCGGGCCGAGGTGAATGAAAGCAATAAAAATTTTTGGTATCGATGATGTCCTATCTATTTAGGTGATTTCGTCAACAAGGATATGCCAGGTGATGAGTCCGGAGTCAGTATCCGGCGTAAAATCACCGCAGCCGATTATTATCAAGCATATCAGCATTATGTCGTTCGAGGTGTACAACGACCAAAACCTGCTAAAAAGGTTAGTTGCTTCAAACCTATCTATGTAAGAGCCGAGCAAACGGTCGGAACTTCGTGAACAGCTAAAGTTCAAGCTGCGCGTGTAGGTAGTGCGTGCAGAGGTGAACGACCGAAAATGAGGAAACGGCGATTCTTAGATCCCCATTCGCTTCCCCATTCTACAATAACAAAAAAGTCACATTCGCTTATACTTGAACACCATTTTTATCAGTGAGATAGGTTTATAGTTGAGGCTGAAAAGACTTGAAGCTTGACATTCAGTAGACTCCTCAAATTGCCTTACCGGCAAGCCCTTTATGAAGACCTGAAGATTAAATAACTTTTGGAGCTTCCAGTTTCCCTCGGTGCCAGAGACCTGTGTCGAATGAAACATTAATTTTTTCAATTAGTATTTAATATTTCATACAGTCGAGTCTATCAATAAAAATTCAGCTCCATTGAAATTCGTAAGTAAGAAAAAAATTACCCTGAAAACCTAGCTGTGTTTAGTATCTTCATTCAAGGGATACTTTATGAAGTTGTTTGATGATGAATAATGTTGATAACGTTGATATTATAATTGATTTTACATTTGCATTCAGGATCTCCTACCAGGCGAGCACTTTACTATACCGATCATAGTACCGGAGGGTAAAAGCCTTTTATGGGATTTTGTGTCGAGTGGCGAAATTGAGTTCTACATTTATAAGGACAAGGTACGGTGATTTATACAATGCAAAATACTTATACTATACTAGTTAGTATAAACAATCCGATAAACATGATAACAGTTTTTCGCATTAACCACTCTGCTGGAAAAAGTCAGAAAGTCAGTATTCTTATCCATTTCTGTATATTTAACAGTTCTAAAACGGGTACAAAGGAAAGCGAAGTCTACCATGCAAACAGGCAACCTGTTAACTTACATATGTATGTATTTTGAGGCAGTGGAAATCTAAAATAAACTATTTTTACCCTTTACCAGTTATGCCACCGGGGGAAATGCATTCAAGTGATTCGAATATTCGGATTTAAAACGGATGCACGACTCATCTCAAATGAGTTCTCACTGCAGAACACTTTTCGTCTTGCTACCACTAACAGTCTTCTTTTTTGGGACACGTCACCGCAACAACAAGATAGTAGTTTCTTCTCCCAGTCGAACATGGCACAATTAAGCGACCCCAGAAGGTTTAGAGACTGTTGGCCTGGATAGATATCAATACGGGATTCGAACCACGGACCGTGGGTGTGCGATGCATGGTTGACTGCTCCAACTTCGCTACAATTTTAAACATAACAAATCTTAAGTTAATCAGATTACAAACTCATCTCTCTGTATGAACATGGGTGGCGTTACTGTCAGACTGTTTTGAGTCACACGCCGCGCGCGACAAAGTCGCGTTCTCGTGAACTATCTGAATGCACACGAATCTGTTTAACAAAATGGAAATTTATCGTTTTTTTTTTCAGGACGAGCAACAATTGATGTATCCCCGCTTGCGATTGATTACTTCAAAACTTCCCGAGGAAGGCACCTTGCCGAATTTGTCAGGCGGCGAATATTCATTTGTGTTTGTAAACCATGGCTCTTTCTTTACAACAAAATTGGAATATGCTATTACCATTGCTTAAATATTACAATATCGCATAAATATTTACTTGTAGATACATAGTGTATTCACTATGAAGCCAAACAGTTATGAATAAGTAACCTATTACATTCACTTCTAATATAAATAATTAGAAGCATGAATGGTGCAGCGGCTGAAATTATCGCGCAGCACCCTTACATCCAAAGGATCAGTCCGGTTAGTAATCAAACAAGCCAACGTTTGCGAATCGGGCAGCCTGCCTAGAAAACTTAAAACGTTGCCCCTTTGCCAACTATTCCATACAGTACGCCAATTACAGTTTTCGAGCGGTTTTTCATTTTTGAAAGAAATCGAAGGCGTGGCAATTCCACGAGGACGATTTGATAATAAGACATCTGCGCTACCCCACTTCAACTTACGATATTACCAGACCCTAATAATTCTATTGGATTTATTTTCACCTCTCCTCACCCAAAACGAAGCTTCGCATAGAGTAAAAGTCCACTCAATAAGTATTACTTCAAACCTTACTATTACAATCTTTGTAGTATTACTAGCAAATAGATATATATAGTTACATAAGTAAGTAAATAAATATCGAGCGATAGCCCAACCATAGTGGAGACTACATCGAGTCCCCTTAAAGCGAGCCAGGCCCTCCAATGCTTCCGTTTTCATAATTCTGCATCCCGTATAGCAAGTAGGATTGCAACAAAGATGCAGCCCAACCCCGTTCACTTACGTATAGGAGTCAATACTAACTTCTGCTCAATAATCGGGTTCGCGGCATTCTTGAGAAGTTCAACTGGAGATGAATATTTTGTGATCTTCCTAAATTTTAGAAATTTCATAGGATGTTCGGTGCCTTCGTCCGAGCTAGTACCTACACAAAACTCTCAAATGAAGAGTGGTCAAGTGGGAAAGAGAATAGGAGGCAGAGGGAAATGAAAGTAAAGAGTAAGGCTTGATCAGAATCAAGAAAATTGCTGGACTGAAGTTTTTATGTGAAACAGCTCATTCATAAGCACTGCCTTCACCTCCATATGCGCGTAAGAGGTTGCCACCAAACAAACTGTCGAAGACTCGGACGACATTTCGTATCCGATTGATGAACTTTCCAAGGGCTGCATATCTTTCCCTTTTTCAGCGGCCTTCTAGCTTCTTTAATGTAACCTTTTGAGCTATATTGGAGTCCAGTGATAGAAATAGTTCACAGCTAATTGCTGCCGAGAAATGAACCATAATCCCATCAAATTTCTTGTAGGTGAGAAAGCTGGAGATACGTTTTGAGGGGACAAGCAGAGAATCGTCGATAAAGTTGCCCATCATCAGCAACCAATTCAATCAATTTTTTCTCATTTTCCATTATATAGAGGCTTTGCTACAGAGGATATCCTTTGCAGAAAATTCTGATCTTCTAATGTTACCCTCGTGTTTTAGGATGCATTCGAAGTTTGTCCTGCTGAAAGTCTTACACACACAGATCTGGTACCGAGAGCGCAATTCTTCCTGAAACATTCCACGATGGGTCTCGAGCGGGGGATCCGGTCGTGTTTGGTTCTTGGCCTAGCCTTTCTTTGTCCGACGCGACCGGAACGTAGTGCGAAATGCAAACAGAATAGTAACTGAATGCGATTTTGATCTGCCGGAATCATGTGAAAGGATTAAGGACGCGACAAGATTTCGGAAACCAGATGTGAAAGAAACATGATGAACTGTAGTGAAAGAAATACAGATAGCAGTAGGGAATATCATCCAGGAGGGCTATACCATTTCATATCTATTCAAGTCATTGCCGAAAGAAGTAGCTTTCCCATGTCTTTAAAATCAGTCAAGGAGGATCAACTAATTTCCGACAATGCTCCTTGCTACTAACTTTACATTCTAGATCGCACAATTAGTTGAGCTCTATGGGCTGTTCCTCAATCCGCCTTGGTTAACCGAGACAAGGACCTCATATGAGCCACAGTCGCCACAGTGCGACAGAAAATTACGAGTATCTCTGTAGTACGATGACCTAGGAATCCAAGATAGAAAAGTCACAGTCAGTTGATGAACATCGAACATTCGAAGGGTTGTATCAAGAATTCCTTCACGTCCATAAGATGGGTTCACTGGGATAGCAACACTATATCCCACAAAAAGTCATCTCTGATTCACTCATGGTCTTTTCAGAAGTGACTACTCTTCATAAGTTTACCAACATCATGATAATAAAACTAATAATAACAACTCCATGTTAACCGACCCATTAGCGGCTGAACTTCCTGTACGGTGTCGGAGGTCATTTCTTCAACCGGAAGCTCTATCTTTTTTCTTCATCCGTGGAGTATTTAAGTTATTGCTTATTAAAGCTTGACATAGGGGCGGAAGTGGTGTAGTGGCAAGTGACGCTCTATATCACACGCACGGTAAGGATTCGAATCCCGGATCGATGCCCGCCTAGGCCAACTAAGTCTTCCATCCCTCCGGGGTCGGTCAATTGGTACGAAACTCGTCTGGGAGGATAAACGCACGGACTTGTACAACGGCTGGCCACCGTAAGTCATTGTATAGGCCACATACACTCTCTTTACATCAATACGATTCTGAATGGAAGTCGAGGGCGGGGGCGCATCCCACAGACGGAATTGATTAACGCAGAAAAAAATTTATCCTTCATCCTTAATGCTTGACATTATGTTTAAACACCTTCAAGTGATTAAATAGAGTGGAAATGGAGACAAAATACACAAACAGTAAACATACGTGAGCCAAGTATAGAGATACATATGCGTGAATAAAAAATATGAAGCCAAACCACCGAATCTATCACGTTTTACATGTAAGTGTATTTTTTTTCGAAAGATGTATAAGCTTCAGATTATTTAATGAAAAAGCTTGACGTCTATATCTACGCCCAGCAGAATTTCGTGACCGAAACTGAGGGCAGAATAATATTGTGATTATTCTCTTTTGAAGGACCAACAAGGAGAAAGTTACTGAGCCACTAAAAAACATTTTCGAAGAAAAATCAGCAACATATCGAAATTTCGAGATGATGAAGACTTCATGTTTGGTTGACTCTGTATTAAGGGATATACCAACCACGTTTTGAACATCAAAACTAATTGGAAATCTCTATCCGGTGTCTTAGAAGCGGAACGTATCATACTTCGAATTCATCGTGAAACAACTCATCATCTGAGTTCGGCGGCCCCGCTGGTTTCCTTGGGAAAAACTCTATAGAACATAGGTGACATAAAATGAAACATAGAGGACGAAAGCGCTACAGGATCTCCAGATAAGACTTTAAAAATTTGATTATTCTCAATTCACGTCAGCTACGTTCTTTTCACAAGAGCCGCTGTGAATTGGAACACAACCCTGTTTACATGGATGTTTACATGGCTGTTGTTTCGTCGGTCAGTGGAATGTTTACCGTCCTCCTTCGGCAACATTCCGAACGAGCAGCACTCAAAGGATCGAAAATTACATGAAAACGGAAATGAAGGAACAACTGAAGATATGAAGTTCCAATCAACCATGTGGAAAGCGCCATGCTTCTGAATTACGCTTGGAATCGTTATCCGTACCAACCCCCGGACCAGACAGGGACATGGAAACATCGATCGGTGAGGTTCAATAGCAGCTAGCTCCTCTGATAACCTTGCTTCTTCAGTCGTATAATTCATGTGACTACGAAGTAAGACTTTTTTGAGGGAAGGGCTCTTCTACTCTTCTCGAATTCTTTCTGCGCTAAGTTGGCGAACGTGACAGGGCTTACGGTTACTTGACTTCACACGGATCTTGGCTTTCATACTTCCTGAGTCCTCGACTTTCTCAACGTCCTTTCTCAAAGAAACGGATAGCTCTATTGGGTCATAAGAGTTCAGATCTCTAGAGCACCACACGGAGCCTCTAACATTAAGCGAAGTGCTATATCCACTCAATCGAAACGTGCAACTATAGGAAGCTTCTAAGGCATTCAAAATATTGAGCTCAATCATCGCGTGCGGTGGCCGCGTCCGGCATCGCGTAATTTTGGTTGTTGTGTGCATGCGTTCTTAACGATGACGTCGCAACGGCTCCGAGGAGAGGTGTGGCGGTATGTTCCTCTACGACGCCGCCGCCCATATAAAAGTGGTCTGGTCGCGGAAACGGACAACATATGTACGCTATGTCGCTTATCATCGCCTCCTCTCTGCTTGCCATCGCCACTGCACAGTACGGTATGTACAACACGATAGAAATTACCGTACATTATCAGTAACACTTAGAACTCATTACATTTTCGCGCAAGTTTTTTAGTTTTTCAGAACTATTTTACGATTGTTTCAGTGGTGCCCCCAGCCGGTCCGGCATGCACTCCTTCATGTGTGGGAGGAGGAATGTAAGTTCTTTTTCATTCCGACATTTCCCTCTCAATATTTACTCATTGCATTTTTGAAGTTTACAAAAATTCACCTTCCAGGTGTTATGCAGGTGCTTGTCAGTGCCCTCAACCAGCTGTAGTATATAGCCCTGTAGTGGGTTGCTCTCCACCTGTGCCAGTAGCGCCAGTAGCGCCAGTACCAATGGCACCAGCGCCAGTAGTCACTGGTCGGCTGATCCCGCAGGTAGGCCTAAATGAACTTACCTAAACCCATGACTCTCTTTGTCGAAACTTTCCTAGGACTTTATTCTTCACCTAAGCTTGAATTTCTCGATCTAGGCCATATATTTAGGCTCTTCCCGGCTCTCCCTGTGAACCAGGTGTTGAGTGCACCGGTGGTTCTGTCTGTTCGTTGGGTGTTTGCCTCTGTCCACCAGAGCTCATACAAGAGGGTACTGTCTGCGTGAGTCGTACAGTCTACAGTGTCGTCCCACCTCCAGCAGTTGTGGTACCAACTGTACCAGTCGCACCAGCTGTACCCGTAGCCCCAGCTGTACCAGTGAGTTTCCGTCCTCATGTGTGTTCATTGCAGCTCGGCCAAACATTGGGTGCTTCTAGGTTGCCCTTGGAGCACCGTGCTACACTCCGGCCACTCCATGTGCACCGGGAGCGCTTTGCACCTCCGGTGTTTGCCAGTGCTCTCCAGCTTACACTCCCACTGCCAGTGGATGTATACTCAGAAGTAAGTTGAATTTAAGTTCAATACCAACCAACAGCCATTTTTTTCTATTTTTTAGAGTAATCACCTGATCGTCGACTGATCGAGCCTACCTCAACTGCATACCTGTACATTGTTGTCATTATGTGAGCAATTAATAAAGATCCAGAATAAAGTATATGATAAGCGTACACAGCTAAAAATAAAAAGATATTTCTAAGATAAAAATGTTTCCGAAAGTTTTCGAAGATCAACACGACTTTGAGGTTATATTCCAATATACGTTAACAGTGGCAATCACAGATCATTTACACAGGCAACGGCCATGTCTGGGGCTATCATTTGAACTTCGTATGGAACGGAGGGTAAATCGTTCGTTTGGCGGCCTCTCCCTTTCGAGATTTGCCGTTCATTCGACTTTAATTTGAAATCGCATCGCTTGTAAATACTCACACGAAAAACTTCAGTAGCCAATACAACAGATGGCCATGCTCAGTTGATGAAATGATGGCAATGCACAAATAAATTACTTTGCTTTGCCTTGCGGTCCCCTCAATAATCGGAAACCGTCTTCCAGAACACCGATGGAACGAGGATGAACCCAAAGTGCTTTTTTGTGAAGGAGACCGACTTTGCCCGAAAAATGGAAGGCTGAGTAAGGGCCCACAAATTGCGGACTGATTCTCATGAAGCGTTGCCACCGTTCCATAGGCAGCACCAGCCCGGTTCAACCAGATATTATTAAAGAAATTGAGATTATCTTATCCATGTGAAAGAAGGCATTCATAGAATGCGAGCCTATAGGAACAGAGCAGTTTTCAAGCCAATGCTCTCGTCATGCCTCTTTGACAGATTGCAAGCATTATGTAGGCCCAGACAAGCCTAAACTACAACATATCCGTAGCTGGAAAACAATGTGCAATCCACTTTTGAGACCTGGGGAGGTAGAAGGGGTGATCCATAACCGTAAATTGAAGCGCGAAGCGCGGATAACGTCTTTGTGGGCGACACGCCAAAGAAGTAGAGAGGTGCCCTTGTTCAGAATCATAATCCTTCATTGCATTCAAGATCCGTGGAATGTCACAGAGTTCAGGCAATGTTCTACCAACTGCTTTTTTGATTGATACGTTTCTTTCCAATCCCGGATTATCATAACAGCACAGAATACAAAACTACTCGGAGTATACGTTAGAACATAGCAAGCTGCTCAAGACTACATATATGCCGAAAACGGTTTATATGAATTGGCCTCATTCTCTTGAATCTTAAGATCTTCTCAATACAATAGCGTTGGAGGGGATTGCATGAGAGGGACGGCAAGAGCGCAGGGAAGTAATAGACTTTTTAAAAGGGAAGAGCTATTATAATAAGGCGATCGGTCTATCAATGCACGCAACGCTTGAATGGAAAGCGTACCTCGGAGAACCGATGATGGAAAACAGGATGATTGAGTAATACTTAATAGAGCTGATCTAGACAAAAGGCATAACCCCCCAAACGCCGTTTCGGAGACAGCAGATGATCTGTTCCTCAGAACATGCGATAGCACAAGCGTCGGCCGGGTAGGTGTCCACATCATGATCATGAACATCGATCGACTCGTACGAAAGCTTGACAACGCAAAGCGAACATTTGCGATTGAAAAGTGTGGCTCAATCCTAGCTCTAGCAATCATCATCATCTATGCACTAACATCGAGCTACAAAGAAGAATAGCTGGAGACGTTTATTGTGGATTCACAGAAAAGACCATACACGGCTGAAGACCTCCTGTATCGCGTTTCACAGAAGAGAATGAATGAGCGGGGTGAGAGGCTGACCGAACTTATTATGTCTACCAACATCATTCATGGTAATAAGCAGAAACCCGCTCGTTTGCGATGGACTTGGGAGTCAGCTGGTGGACAGATCCATAGTGGAATAGTTCACATCATCTTTAATTAAAAGTTTTGCTTGACTGACGTCGTTGTTGTTCCGAAATTTTTCAAGTGTTAAGGCTATCTTTTCCACTGCGCTAGATTCTGTTTTTCAGGGCGTGAGGAGAGAGCTGCAAAGTTCAGGAAACCAAGCAACACGACTGTT